AGCAGGCTTCCCGTGGAGCAGGGAGCCCGATGCGGGGCTTGATCCCAGGACCCTGAGATCATGACCTGAGCCAAAGGCAGATGCTTAATGACTGAGCCACCCAGGTCACCTCTCATTTCTTACATTTGAATCCTACTTTAAGACAATGCTTTTTTCACATGCTTCAGAAGCTGTTTTGATCATTCCCAAATTTATCTTGTTTCTGCTTTCACAGTATCTGATACAGTGTATATTTAGTCATTTTAACATTTATGTATATTCTAACCTGAATTATCAAAATAATTTCACATGCATGTATTTATGAACTCCTTTAAGATAGACTGTTTTATATTTCTTTTGTGATCTTACCTATGTAACACAATGCTAATTATTTAGCATTTTAGTTATTTTCAATTAATACTGAAAAATTCTTGCATATTTCCATTAAATTTCAATGTCCAGTCGTTGTACAGTTCCACTGAAAAAGAGGAATTAATAGTTGTTCTCTTTACAGGTTTCCTGTTTTAAATTCAATGGCTGTGCAGCTCCTATCCAATGTTTAGGATTACCATGTTATGGCATGTTTTTACAGGTACATTTTTGCCTTCCTACCATCCCTCTTCTAAGATAGATTTTTGCTTTTGGGGGAAGAAGGACAGGTAATATAAACACATATATTTATATAAAATTCAAAAGGTACAAACTTGTATAAAATGAAAAGTAACTCTACCATCAAGGCCTGTCTCTGGTCTACTGAGTTGACTTCAACAGAAGTAACTGTTGTTAGCAGTTTCTTCTATGTCCTTCCACAGAGAATGAGATTAATTCTTAAACTACTAAAATCCAATTCAACTGTTTTAAGAAAAATTTATGATTAATCAACCTTTTCAAAGTCTAACTAGAGTGGCGTACCATTTGAATTTCCTTTTCATGTATGTTTAACTGTACATTCTGGTTGGCTCAAAGATAATTATTAAACTTTGTCCTAATAAAAAATTTTTGCTCGTTCACATCAAAATGTTATTAGTAAATGCTCATAATTGTCGCATTAAGATGAGATCATTATCGGGCGCCTGGGTGGCTCAGTCGTTAAGCGTCTGCCTTCGGCTCAGGTCATGATCCCAGGGTCCTGGGATCAAGCCCCGCATCGGGCTCCCTGCTCAGCAGGAAGCCTGCTTCTCCCTCTCCCACTCCCCCTGCTTGTGTTCCTGCTCTCGCTATGTCTCTCTGTCAAATAAATAAA